CGAGCTCGCTAGAATGAATGACTGTCGTTCGTTGGCTGCTGCCGTGGACGACCAACATCGGCTCAGAACCGGTCCCCGATGCCAGATCGACTTTGGACGGGTGGTCCGAAAACGGTCCCGAGAGGCAGAAACGTCGAGAACTGTATCGTCGGGTTTGGATGGTGGATTTTCCTCCTTCTCGTCCAGCCTCTTCCTGTTTCCCTCCTCCTCCATCCTTCGACCTCCTTGCTCCTTCTCCTCTCCTTGTGTGCCTCTCACCCAGGAAAGCGGGTTTCACCTGCGGCTCTGAGTGGAGGATTCGCAGTAAGGCACCTTCGGCCGTCTCGTGGCCCTCATGGGGCCTTTGTGATCCGTCTTCCTGGGAGGATCCGCAGAACGCTACGTCACCACATGTGTGCCGAGTGCCCCCTTACATAGACCGCACCCCACAGGAAGCTCCACCGACGATGAAAAGCCAACGCGTGCATGCCGTCTCACCGCTCCACCGACGGTGAAGAGCCAACGTGTGCATTCCGCCGCACCGTCCATGGCGGCACACCTGTGATCTGGATTATGAGTTGGGGGGGCCCTTCGGGGTCTCGCGGCGTGTGGGAGTGAGAGCTCTGGAGGTGTTAGGGTTCCCGGGTCTCAGAGGACTCATGGGGCACCATGAGGCACCATAGTGGTCGTAGGGCTTAAGGGGCCGACAGGCCTCATATGGCTGATACGGGTATGGCCTCTCGGGGCTCTCGTGGGGCTCCTTTTGAGGCAGGCTCTGTTGGGCTGTCTGGCGGCCCTCCTGGGCCGTCCCAGGACCCTCTTGAGCAATCCTGGGGGGCTTGTGCCGTCTTGGGGTCCTCTTGGTTCTTCTTGGGGGCCTCCTGCGGCCTTCTTGGGGCTCTTTGGGAAGCCTTTTGGTGCTCTTGGGGCCGTTTTGGGGCTCTCTTGGGTCATTTTGGAGCCCTTTTGGGTTGTCGTGGGGCTCCTTTGGGGACTTCTGGGACCGTCCTGAGGCAATCTTGAGGGCCTCTTGGGCCGTCTTGGGCGCGGTGAAGGCCAAAGAAGCGGATATGCAAACAATGTACGTTTTCCGACGGGAATGGGACGATTTTACCCCCTGGGGGGTCTTCTTGGGGGCCTGAGAACACCTAGGGCCGTCTTGAAGCCACCTTGAGGCCTCTTTGAGCACTCATGAGCCGTTCTGGGGCGGTCTTGGGCCGGCTTGGGGCTTTGCGGGGCCGTCCACGGATGGTCGGGAGAGGCTCCCGAAACCGAAATTCGAATTTGACGTCGGTGGGAGCGCCCAGGGCCGAATTTACGTACGGGGGGGGGGGTCAGGGGGGTTTCCGCTAGAAGAATGTTCGAAGAGGAATGTATATACCTATATACATACATACCTACATCTACATATATTTATCTATTCACAAATGTATACGATCGTCTAAGACGTGCAACAGACACATCAAGACATACATACATCTATATATAGAGAGAGAGAGAGTGAAGCCATAGAAACGAGAAGGAAGAGGGCAAGCGTGGAGCGCATGCAACAATTGCTGGACATCCACCGGTTGGGTCCTTCTTCGGTGTCGTGCTGTTCCTTTGACCTTTCTGCCAGTATGGGGACAATCCCTCCAGAGCGCTCCCGCACGCTCTCAGAGCGTTCCAGAGCGCCTGGACCGGCCCCTGCGCCCGGTGCATCCTCCAGACCCGCTGGCTTTTAGAGATTCCCGACCTATCCCCCTCCGAATTGCTCCTCCTCCTGCCTTCGCACACGGGCCACAGCTGGGTGAGCTGTGGCGTTTGCACTCCCCCCTGGGGGGGGGCCCTCGTCCTCGACCCCTCCCCTCCTCGAGAGGTCGTCGACACGATGGGGGCTTCCCCAGAAGGGGGGGGGGGGCATGAGGAGGAGGAGGAGGAGGAGGAGGGAGGAGGAGGAGGAGGAGGAGGAGGAGGAGAGGAGGAGGAGGAGGAGGAGGAGGAGGAAAGAGGAAGAGGAGGAGGAGGAGGAGGAGGAGGAGGAGGAAGAGGAAGACGAGGAGGAGGAGGAGGAGGAGGAGGAGGAGGAGGAGGAGAGGAGGAGGAGGAGGAGGAGGACGACGAGAAGGAGAAGGCAGCTCCCCCAGTTTTTGCGAGGTGCCTCGTCGCACCAATAGCTGGCACGTCAAGCGAGGAGCTGGTCTGCCAGCGCGGTGCCCCGCGAAGGCTTCCCATCCCGCCCCGTCGGAACGCCCTGGGGGCCTACCGCAGGCGGGGCACCCAAAGAGTTCGACGAAGAGCGTGCCCCAAGAGTTCGGCAAGAGCGGCTTCTTGTCGTGGGGCGCTCGCCTGGGCAGAGTGGCTGACGATGCCTTCGAGCTTCGGAGCCCCGCTCTCGGTCCTCGTCCGGGGGACTTGCGTGGTACCCATCATCAGTGTGAGCGCGCTCGGCGGCGTGAGAGCGAGGCACTTGTGACCATTGGATCTTTCATGACGCGGCCCTCGATGCTGCTCAAGCAGAAAGACTTGTGAAAGGCCCTGAGGCCGCCGCCGCCGACCCTGCGATGGAGACGACGACGCCGCTGCCGACGACGCGGGCCTCAATGCTCAATGCTGCATGGTAAACAGCATTTCCTGCCGCATATGCCTACCGGGCCCGCTTTTTCCATTCCAGGACGAGGAGGAGGTGGAGGAGGTGGAGAAGGAGGAGGACGAGGAGGAGGAGGAGGAGGAGGAGGAGGAGGAGGAGGAGGAGGGGCAGGAGGAGGGGCAGGAGGGGAGGAGGATGAGGAAGAGGCGGAGGAGGAGGAGGATGGAGGAGGAGGAGGAGGACGGAGGAGGAGGAGGAGGAGGAGGGAGGAGGAGGAGGAGGAGGAGGAGGAGGAGGAGGAGGACCACGAGGGCGAAGACAGAGCCCTACCCCCCCCGTCGCCCGACCCGCTCGTTCTGCTCCAGGACCCCGGCGGCGCGGCGCTGCGCGACGCGGCCGCCGGCGAGGACCACCTGCAGGCCGCGCGCAGCCGCCCCGCTGCCGCCCCCGCTGCCGCCGGTCGATCGGCCGGCCCTCGATCGATCGATCCTCGATCCTGGATCGATCGATCCTCGATCCTCGGTCGATCGATCCTCGATCCTCAATTCCTGGATCGATCGATCCTCGGCCTCGATCGATCCATCCTCGACCCTGGATCGATCGATCCTCGATCCTCCATCCTCGATGCTCGGTCGACCCTCGAGCGGGCGTCGCCGCCGCGGCCGCGGCCCCCCTCGCCCGCCGCCGACGACCGATTGGTCGACCGTCGCTCCACCGGTCCGAGGCTCGAGGTCTGCGGACGGCTTCGCTGGCTCGCGGCGGCGTTCCAGCCTCAGGATGCTCTCTCCAGCAGCCGCACCGAGGAGGAGGAGGAGGAGGAGGAGGAGGAGGAGGAGGAGGCGGGAGGAGGAGGAGGAGGAGGAGGAGGAGGAGGAGGAGGAGGAGGAGGAGGAGGAGTAGGAGAAGGATGAGGGAGGAGAGGAGGAGGAAGGAGGAGGAGGGAGGAGGAGGAGGAGGAGGAGGAGGAGGAGTTGCCGAGGGCATTCTGGGCGTGGCCGGAGCGTCCCGACTTGGCCGCCGCGAGACCCGGAGTGGGAGCCGAAAGCCAAGGAGGCATCGATCCCCGATCGATCGATCCTCGACTCTCGGCAGCTCGATCGATTGATCCTCGGCCCTCGATCCTCGATCGATCGAGGATCGACCGATCGATCGATCCTCGACCCTCGATCGATCCATTCGCGATGCTCGGCTCTCGGTCGCTCGATCCTCGACCCTCGGGCGATCGGCGTTCGGCCCTCGACTGGTCTCCAGGCCCTCGGGCGCCTCTCTCGCCCGCCCGCGGCCCCTCTCGTGGAGGAGGTCGGGCGTGTGCCTCTACGGGAGGAGTCTTCAAACATAGTCCAAAGATAGTCTGGGGACGAGTTTTCTATGATGTTTGTGACTATTTTCGAGCACTGTTCTGCTATTCGTGATGTTTCTTCCGAAGTCCGCCTGTAGGAGGACGTGCCCGACCGAACCCTTGGACCTCTGGAGGCCTTCCGAGGCCTCCTGGAGCCTCTGCGGGGACCCCTCGCGACCCCCGGGAGGCTGCCAGACGACGTCGGCCAGCACCGTCGCCTCGACGTCGCCTCGACGTCGCCGCTGCCGCCGCCGTCGTCGCCGCGCCGCCCGCGTCGCCGCGCCGCCCGCGTCGCCGCAGTCGTCGCTGCCCTTTTTTGTTCCCAACCCTCCTGTGCTTGGTGCTCATTCTGAGCACAACGCTGCACGCTCCAGGCTTCCCTCCTCCTCCTCCTCCTCCCTCCTCCTCCAGGCTTCCCTCCTCCTCCTCCTCCTCCTTCCTCCTCCAGGCTTCCCTCCTCCTCCTCCTCCTCCTCCTCCTCCTCCTCCTCCTCCTGAGGCCTTCCGACTCAATGAGTCGAGGGTCGAGGTTTTGTCCATTCGATCGTCATTCGGACGATTCGACGGTCGACCATGCCCGCCGTGAGCGGGCCTTCTCTGGCCTGCCGCTCGCGTACGAGTGTTGGACGTCCCTGGCAGAGGTTCCTTCATGGGACCTTTTTGATAGCGGGGCGCGCCTCGGGGCGACGAGGAGAAACGCCGGGTCGAATGCGAGAAGGCATGCGGCTGGGAGCGTTGGCGTGGCGTGCCGCGGTGGTGGCCCGGGCGACGCGCTGTGCCCTGCGAGCGGATGGCGTGTGGCCCCGCCCCGCGGGAGGCCAGGAGAAGCTCGCGTACGAGTGTCGGACGTCCCAGGCAGAGGTTCCTTCCTGACACCCGATGTCTGAGTCCCGAGTCGTCCTTCTCCTGCCCCGCGGCCCCCGGGGGGGTGCCAACTGCGCAACTGTCACCACTTCCGTGGGCGCCCGGGAGGCCCAGCATGGGTTGGGGGGACACGCAGATCTAGTCGAGGCCTCGCGGCTTGCTGAGGGGGCTGCCAACTGCGCAACTGTCGCCACTTCCGTGGGCTCCTGGGAGGCCCAGCAGGACCGGGGGGGGCACGCGAGTCCAGTCGAGACTTTGCGGCTTGCTGAGGGGGCTGCCAATTGCGCAGCCGTCGTCACTTTCGTGGGCTCTTGGGAGGTCCAGCGGAGCGGAGGGACACGCGGATCCAGTCATCGCGGTTTGCTGAAAGGGCTGCCAGTTGCTCAGCAGTCGCTACTTTCGTGGGCTCCTGGTAGGCCCAGCGGAGCGACGCCTCAAAGCGGTTCAAGATTTCACTGCCACTTGTGCAGGTGTCTTCTTTTTCGTGAGCCCCTGGAGAGTCCAGCGGAGTGACACGCCTTGAAACGGTCCAGTGGACCTCGCCTCCTGGGGCCTCTCCAGTGTAGCTGTTAAAGCAACTCCCATGCCATTGCATGTCATCGCCGTTGGCACATTGCTCTGACCACGTGTTGCAGATGATGGTCATGCCCATGATGGTGATGATGATGATGATGATGATGATGATGATGATGATGATGATGATGATGATGATGATGATGGTGATGATGATGATGCTGATGATGATGATGATGCTGATGATGCTTATGAGGATGCTGATGATGGTGATGCTGCTGCTGCTGCTGCTGCTGATGATGATGATGATGATGATGATGTGATGGCGATGGCAAACATAATGATGATGATGATTTGGATGATGAGAATGGTGTCGATGATGAAGATGAAGATGTTGATGACGATGATGATGACGATGGTGTTGAGGATGCTGTTAATAAATATGCTGTTGATCCTGTTGTTATGTATGATGACCACGACGTTGTCGATACTGATACTGATAATAATAATGGTGGTGATGACGTTGGTGATGGTGATGATCATGATTGTGACGATGACTTTAATGTTTATGCTTATGATGATGTTGATGCTGATGCCGTCGCTGATGCTGATGCTGATGCTGGTGATGCCGATTATGATGATGATGCCAATGGTGATGGTGAGGATGATGATGCTGATGCTGATGCTGATGATGATGATGCTGCTGATGATGATGATGATGCTGATGATGAGCCGATGGGAAGGATGGCGATGGTTATGATGGCGAGGGGGATGAACTGGAGGAAGAGGAATAGTAAATAGGAGGAGGTGGATGAGGAGGAGGGACTCTTCGGGATCGGTAGCATGGAGGAGGCGATCACGACGAGGAGAAGCAACAGGAGAAGGATGAACGTGATATCACTATTTTATTATTCGTCCAAGCGCCGCTCCGAGGACGAATACGACGAGGATATCGAGGGCGAATAGGAGGAGGAGGCAAGAGGAAGGGCATGACAACCGCGACAGCTATCAGGGCGACGACTGACAATGACGGCGCCGCTGACGACGTCGCCATCCGACCCGAACCGGCTAAAAGCTGGTCCCCAGACCCCTCCCAGGTCCCGTCCTGGCCACCCTTTCGCGCCGCACCCGGCCGTGAGGACGAGCATTTCCGGACATTCCCACGCGAAAACCTCGTCGCCGTCGTCCTCGGCGACGAGGGCGGTGGTCGCGACGAGGACGACGACGAGGAGGGTGACGACGACCGCGACCTCGAGCCCCCTGGATGGCGCGTGCGCCGAGGCCCCCGACTTCCTGGGGCGGCTCCACCACCTGAAGACGCTCTTCCGCATGCCCGTCTCGCAGGACGCCCTTTCTCTCCACTCCAGTGTACACATTGTTCACTTCTAATTATTCGAAAGGTCATTGATTTTTTTGTTTGGGGGGCAAGATCCTTTCATTTCTAATTCTTCTGTCCTGGGCCTCTTCCTGGCCACCAGGGGGCCAGGAACAATTAGAATCGAGCAGAATTAGAAATGAGCACGATTCGACATGAACGACGTGTATGTTATATTGTTCTTTTCATTTGCACAGGAAAGAAAACAAAATGAATATCACAAAGAAGGGTGAGGAAGAGGGGGAGGCGGGAGGAGGAGACGGAGGACGACGGGGAAATGCAGAGGGGAGGAATCTAGTGAAGGATTCCAGTCTTGGCCTGCACCTGGTGCGGGAATGCAACCCCTCCACCCTGCCGAGAGTCATTAGTTGGCCAATGGCAGCAGAGTGCAAGCCTTAAGGCGGGCACGTCCCTCTACAGGAGGAAGATCCCAAAATAGACAACAAATATTGTCAGGGCACGGTTTTTCGATTATTTTAGACATGTTTTGTTTCTTTTGGGCTACTTTTTAATTTTTCCATGCAACATCCGCCTTGAGGGGGGCATGCCCGACCTAAGTTGGCCAATGACAGCAGAGAGCAAAGCCCCGTCTTGATCCCAAACAGATGCCCGCCCACGCTCGAGGCCCTGCTGCAGGGAGGTGGGCTAGACAGCTCCCCATCAGCTGCCCGCCGCCGCTGTGTGCGGCAGGCCGTCAAGAGAAAAACAGCGCGATCGCGCCACAGAGCCTTCCTTTGGGTGCCCGTTGAAAAATCAGTCGCCCAGCCGGCGGGGAAGAGAGGGGGAGTCACCAGCGGCAGCACGCGGCCTTGCTCACAGCAGCGCCAGCCCTTCCGCACCCCTCCTGTGTGGCCGAGGGGGCCGCACGGTCAAGCCCCAGACAGCGACGCCACAGGCGTCGCCCCGAGCCTCCCGCCTCTCTGAGGTCGGAGGCCCTGGAACCAACTTGACCACCGCGTGGGGGGCGCGGTGCGAGACTCAGCGAGGCCCAGAGTGGCCGAGGGGGCCGCACGGTCAAGCCCCAGACAGCGACGCCACAGGCGTCGCCCCGAGCCTCCCGCCTCTCTGAGGTCGGAGGCCCTGGAACCAACTTGACCACCGCGTGGGGGGCGCGGTGCGAGACTCAGCGAGGCCCAGAGCCTCCCCCGCATGCCCGCAGGCCGTTGGCTCGCACCCGAGAGCCTTGCCCGCCAGCACAGTGGTCAAGGCAACCCTGTCCCACACCCTTCAGAAACCCGGTCGGTCACAACCGGGTGGCGCCCACTGTGGGACCGCCCAGCGATGGCCAGACCCGCCACGCGACGCGGCACGCAGACGATCCTCCGTGGATGGTGCAATGGAAGCCTCCTGTGGGATTCGAGCCCGCGACCTCCCCCGCTTACTGAGCGGGTGCTCTACCAACCAAGCCAAGGAGGCGCAAGTGCTGCTCCCCTGCTCGGCAGCTGGCCCCCGGCGGCTTCGAGGGCGCGCGCAGCCGCTTCGCGTTTGGCGAGCCGCCGCCCGCCGCGCGTTGGGGGCGGCGCAGGCGCACCCCCAAGGACAGTTTGCCCGAGTGGTCTAGTAGGGGAACGAAGAATGACATAAACATAAAAAAACTCGAGGTCCGCGCGGATTTCTCGCATCGGCACTGGACACCCTCCCTGGCGCGCGGAGCGCGCCAGGGGCGGTGCCGGAGGCGCTGGCAGGGGGGGCGCGGGTCCGAGAAATCCGCGCGGACCTCCGAGCTGTTATGTTTATGCCTTTCTTAGTTTACCTATCTGGAGGGTGGGCTCAAGTTCCACCAGCACAAGTTGCGTGGGCTCCAGTCCCACAGCTGTCCAATCTCCTTTCTTCCCATCGGGCGGAACGGAACAGCTCGCCCGCGCGCGGAATCGCCCCGCAGACAAGGATGGCCGCGCCCACGGGAAGGAAAGGAGAGGAGGAGGAGGAGGAGGAGAGGAGGAGGAGGAGGAGGAGGGAGGAAGGAGGAGGAGTAGAGGTTGGTTGGAGGGAGACCGTTTTTTTTGTGACAACCGTTCTCTTATTGTGACAGCTGGTGTTTGTATTGTGACAACCGGTAGATCTCGTCGCCCTGGAAACATAAACCTTCGAGCTCCAAAAGTTCGGGTGCACGTTGTCTCTCCTTCCTCGGGAACCGTACAGCAGCCAGAAGTGGAATCCAAGATAGGCCAGGAAGCACCTGGGGAAGCAGACGTAAGAAAACCTGTGCCTGCACCTGGCAGGAGGGAGGAGGAGGAGGAGCAGGAGGAGGAGGAGGAGGAGCAGGA